CACCGAATTCTACAGAGCCAAATCGGATTATTCATTTTGTTGCCACAAAAAGGATGTCTATTGTGGCTGCATTTTCCACTTTCTATCCTCTATCTCTCTCTCTCTATTTCTCTCGTCAGAGAATGCCCCCAAAATTGACAAACTCGGCACATTTTGGTGCATATCCGGGGCATTCCACATTCGGGGATTGTTCTTTTGTGAGTGGATTTTTGGCCGCCCGTCTTGTTTGTTTGTTTCCCTCACATCGAGGCAGAAGCAGAGGCAGGGGCAGATACGGGCAGCTGTGGAATTGCATAATGTCCAGTTTCCTCTTCAGAACGCAGCTCAAGCGATAGCATCGAAATGGGAATGAGAATGGGAATTGGGTCTCCAGAAGTGCATGTCTCTGAAAATTGAACTCATTTACAAAGAGGGAGACAGAGTCGCACTCTAATCGGGGATCCAATCAAACCAAATGGAGCACTCATACAGCACCCCCGCACTTATTCTCCTGACAATAATTGTCAGACCATATCTGCTAATAATAGTGCGAGACACAAATCGGCAAGGAATGCAAATAACTTTGCATGGGGTGGGGATTGGGGCTGGGGTTGGGGAGGGAGTGGGTCAGTCGATTCAATCAGTCCATCCGTGGGAAATGGACACATGTCGGGGGACATTGTAATGCAAACAAGTCAAAGGAATCCAGTGGAGGGCGGTGGGAAAAGGAAGTTGGCTTCGGCATCAACATTTGCTATTCATTCATGTGTCCATCAAGTGTCTACCCATTAGGTTCAATGAACTGCCAAGAAGTAGATCGTCCAGTAATCATTGATTGGGGGAGTAGAGGGAGTGGGCCACACTCGATGAGGACCAGCGGCAATTGGCGCTCTCCGTAGAACCCAATCGGACGTGTGATGAGCCAATTTCAGACACAGCAGCAGAACACCAGAACAGCCAAAGCACAGCCAGAACTGAAACCAAGTCAAGTGCATTGCCCTGCTGCTCTGGCCGGGGCTCAGCTCCTGTTGACGCTGCACTTTTGCCACCTTACGCGGCGTGAGTGGAGTGGCCAAAAATAAAAACCAATTCCCGGCCTCAGCATGAATGTTGTGCATGGCTGGCTGGCTGGGAGGAGGGGCCTGCTCATTATGCACCATTCCAATTGTGGCCAAGGAATGGCCGGGAGTGGGGAGCAGAGTTCGCACCAAAAGCCCATTCATACGTAATGAAAACTGGCATCTGGCGGCGCCGCAATTCATCGCCAGATTGTGGCGGTAGGGAGATGCGGAAGAGTTCTCCTTGCTCCACGGGCAGGCACAGCCCCAGCCACAGACACAGATGGGTGGGAGGATGCGGATATAGCCGTGCTGCAGTTTGCTTGTTGTTCTCTCTATAAATATACCGCACATGAAACATATTTACTCGTATAAAACCACACACATATCTCTCAACTCCTCGCAGCCAGAACTGTAACAGGAACAGAAACCATCAAAATTGATTGCTTTAACATGGACACGAATTCGGTGAGCCCCCTGCCACCGCTGGAGGCACCATTGGCCATGTTGGACAGCGAGAAGACACCGCCGGGAACCCCGAACGGCATCGATATGCCTCCACCGCCAGACGAGAAGTAAGTCTCTCAGATTCCCAATCAATCCCTTTGGCCCTTGTACATTGTCTCGAGCATCATCAAGCAATCAACACATAATTCACAGCTTCCCAAAACATTTGTGCATAAATATTTAAGCAAATTGTGTCACTTATAGAACAACACACATTTTCAGACAGACAGAGACACAGACAGAGACACAGACAGGGACAAAACCCACAAATGGCCCCAGAGAGCAGAGCAATCTAGCCGGCAATTGGCTCTGCCGCTCAGCTGGCAGCTGGGTTTTGTATATGTGTTTGTATTTGTCCACTGACTAAGACTCGACTCAAACTCAGTACCAGTCTTATATGCGTACCGGGCCTCGTTAAAGCCGCCTGGCCGTTAATCGATTCTAATGGCACCACGCGGCGTATGTGTAACATTTACATTGAATAGGATCGGGGCACGTTAGCATTACGCTCTGCCCAGAAAGACTATGGCTAATTAACAACAACAGCAACAACAAAAACAACAACAACTGTCGACGCCTACACACCCTTGGGCTTTGACGTCGGAAGGTGTACGCCGCTGGTTGGTATTTTTACGCGCCAATTTCCTAATTCACGTATCTTTGAAAGTCGTAAATTTTATTTTAATGCGACCTCGCTCGCAAATCACACAAAACTCGGGCACATCCTTTCTCCCACACACAAACGCACACACACACACGCGCCCCAGCCCATACTCACTCACACACATTCAACAGTTGATCGCGTGTGCGCGTACAGTTGCCTCTGGTAGTAAACATACCCATCCTCCCCTTCCATCCCGCCCCTTCCAGTGTCCTTGTCCAATTTGTGGGCACGCAGCAACCACCAGTGTGCTCCTCCACCAGCTCAAGTAATTACGGACATATTTTCCAGACGAACGGACATCTGTCCCGTGTCCTTAGAGTTGGCTTCAACCTTTTCGCAGCCTTCCTTCTTCTGGCACATTTTCATTCCGTTTTCATTTGGTTTTCATTTGATTTTAAGTAATTTTTTGGGCGCGCTCCCACACGAAAAACCACTAGCCGTTCGCTCCAAGGAGTTATAGCCATTCCGCTTAACCGACCTCGAGTAATGACCGAGCTCCAAAGCAGGGAGTGTTTGCAGTCGGTCCTTGGCCCTCCCACCCTTAAGTGCTGACTGACCCACTGAAGCACTGTTCTTGTGCGGCTGGCTCCTTCGCCACGAATTCGGGGAAGCCTTGTTTCCATAAATATTTGATTGGTTCGCAGACTGCTGCCAGGTGTTTTGATTGATACGAGTATTCATGCTTACTGAGCCACATTCACCCATTTATTTATAGACCCAAAGGCACTCCACTCCGTTATATTGACATACAGGTGTCCCATTAATTAGGTTCCGAATGGAAATTCAAGCAATGGATGCGTGTGCACCTACTTCTGTTTGTCCACTTTAATTCATATTATCTGTGTATTTTGTATCTGATGGCTTTGTTCTTGACTTAGAATATGTCTGCTGAGTCTCTTGACTATCTTTTATCTTTATAATATTTATCTTAGCAATAGAAGCTGTTTCAGCAATAATCTTTAAAGTCAAAATTGTATAATGCAAGGCCGTGCTTTAGGTATGATAGGTAGATAACATTCAAGTACATTTCCGACGGTTATATCCGACTGGGAAGACCTTGAAAGATTGTCTTAACGCCCAAAATATTTGCCATTACGAATAATATTCAAAATATATCAATCGTTGTTACGTTATATCTACACCACAACTACATTTCTTTGTGGCGACACCTAGACTCAAAGTTTTTTCTCATTGAAAATCTTCCGTTTTCCTAAATTTTACATGTGCTCAATGGCTACTTTTGTTTTCTAAATAATTTGTTTTACTCAAAACAAACCAGTATTTGATCCAAATAAGGCCAAATAAGCCTTCTAATAACGATCTCTCGAGCCATTTTACATGAATTATACGTGCGTGGTTCGTGTCCCCACTACACGCGACCGATCTTTGTATGAAATATCCTAGCGCGTTGCTGCGGGTCGCCTTCAACGATTTGGCAGCACGTATTAAATTTCATTTTCATCGGTATATAGAGATCCAATAAAAGTAGGTATTTTGAATATGCCAGTCAAGTAGAAAATTGATTCAATAATCGGATAAAATTATGTGGGCATGGCTAAATGTTTTATCTAGCTAATAATATTCGACGGAAGATCAAAAGCGAGGAATATGTTAAATAGAACTTGAATTCGTCAGTATATTTACGGTATATTTTTCAAATGAGACGGTATGTCTCGGTATTTATTTGAATCGGGTAGAATCGGTAATAACCGGTTCACAACAATGAGTCCCATTCCATGCAGACATACCCTGGGGGAAATGGATGTTATAGAATTGTGAATATGTTTGTCATCCCAGGCTCCAAAGAAGGCAAAAACAATTTAGTCTCTGTTTTAAACATATTTCAACGACATTTGAAGCTTATTTTTTTCTTGCAGGGACCAAGAATAGGTATCAGGATCGAGATATATATACAATATACTAATAATAAACATGAATATGTCTAAAAAATGTAATTTTGAGAAAAGGTCTTTATTAGTAACGTTTTCTTCGTATCTTCGTATCATATACACTTTCATATAAAATTAACAAAATAGGGTATACAAAGGCCTATACTAGGGCTTACACGCAACATAGCGACTGTATTTTTTTTTTTGTCGAACTATTTTGTTTTAACCTTGTTTTAGTCAAAATAAAATAAAAGCAAGGTTTAAAAACTAACCAATTGTGTAGAAAATTTATTCGTCAATGGGCTAAAAATTTGTGGGCATGGCTAAATGTTCTATATAGCTGGTAATATTCGACGGAAGATCAAAAACGAGGAATATGTAAAATAGAATATGAATTCGTCAGTATATTTACGGTATATTTCGAATACAGGACGGTATATTTTGGTATATTTCTGAGGTTCGGACGGTATATTTTAACCATAAGTCCGCGGTCACACTGGTCTTGACTCGATCGCAGCCGTTATATCTGTTGTTTCCCTAGATCGTGGGTATTCACCTTTCGGTACGTTTGAGGATAGCGGGCGGCATTTGAATATCGTGTGCTTGTGTTGGTGCTTGTGGTGTGTTTCTCCCTCTTAACAAAAGGAGCAGCATAAACAAAAGAAGAACCGAAACGGACAATATTATAATTAAATCGTTTTGTTTATACTCATGCTGAGTGTTTTGTGTGTGTGGTGTGCCACTTTTACCAACTTTAGATGCTTACAACTGTGTATTACACGGATCTCTAGCTTTCTTTGGCTGTGCTGTGAAATTGAGAGTTTTTCGGTGCTTTTTATACCAGAAAAGAATCGAAATTTGCAACTCAAGAAATCGCATTAATTGAAAACGCTGCGTGTGAACTTTTCGGCCCCGCATAAACACATGAATAGATAACGAATCTGCCACTGTATGGGATCGTTTATAGCCCCCCAGAGAACCCTCGAATCGAACTGAACCGACCCGAACACTCTGTGATTGACAAATTAACGCATTCATTTTGATTAGCATCTGTATCTACTCGTATCTGTTCGATAGCTGAGGGTTCTGTTTCAATAGTTCCAGCGATTAACGATCCCACAGTCAGATCACAGTTTCGGTTGTGTCCGTCCCCTATTCGGTGTCTCGATTGCCTATAGATTGGCATTTTACAGCATTCGCGTACGCCGAACCTCAATTGCGGAAAGCTCTACACATGAACGATCTTTAGTCGTACCGCACAGATATACATATAGCTAATATATAGTAAAAGCAACAGTGACGCATCATCATCATCACATTGAGATCGCGTCTAGTGGGTGGCGGTGACAAAAACAAGAAGCGAAACCCAGCCACTAATTTCAACTAATTTCGAACACTTGGCTAAATGCGTGATCGTCACTTGGCCAAAATGCCGCGTGGAGGAACAACAACAGCGTAAGTTCTCCTCCTTCCCCCATCTTGCAACCCCCCAACCCCAATCGACTGTACCATATTTATTTAAATTAAACAATTGCGGATCGGATTAATGTTGGAAAAACACTGGCGGCGAGTAGTTTATCTGAGGATCGCATTTGTTCTCGCACTTGAGTCGTCTCTGGTTATGGCACCGCGAATTCGATTGTATCTTCAAGATACAATTTCAGACGCACATGTGTGTGTGTATGCGGCTGCCGCCAGATCGTATGCCATGCGAGTGTATATGCAATCATGTCGCTTAATATGATCGGACACCCGCACTCCGGCGAACCGCAATTGAGCCTCCGAGACGTCGTCTCCAAACAATTGTCGGGCATTGTAAAATAACACCAGACCAGTATATATGTACTTGCAGTATAGTGTGCGTGTGCGGAGCGCACTTCACTCTGCTCTATCGTCATAATTAACCCGCAGGATATATATACATATACATATGTATACCCATCCAGCGTGTGTCTGATTTTCAGTGATGCGTGCGGCTGCGACTGCGGCAACAAATGTTTTAATTTGACTCCAGTTGCAGACTTTTAATTGTGCATTCCGCGCCGGCTCGTTATTTGTTACATCCTATGGTTTCTGTAATTGAAATGTGCCCAGGCTTCCTGGAGTGGAGTACTCTGAATACGAATCCGAATACTCCCTCCCTACTCATCATACAATACTCTGCCCGCACCGCACTCCATATTGGACAGTTAACGTTGCTCCAATTGCCGTTCGGGGAGGTGGCCTCCGGCAACATCTTTAGCGCTGCGACAGCAGTTATAGCCATAATTAGCCTTCTTTTAAGTACAGGTACGGACAGAACCGAGTATATCTGTTCTCCTCTGTTCCCCTTTTCTTTGGGCCTATGTTTTTATGGAGACATCTTGTGGCCATGACAATTGCAGCCACAGCCACAATCACAATCACAATCACATGATCTTATCTTTTCGCGTGTGATAACAAAACCTTAACATTTATCCAAGTTTCGGATGTTGTTTGCCAAGCTTATGATGACGGATGCCCTGCTTGCCCCTGAACTGGGGGAACTATCACAGTCCCATTCCACTTTCTGCCATTTCCACCAATCAGCGGCATGGAACGACTTTAATTGAATTTGCATCTATCAAGAGGTTGATTGGATGCCATCTTCGGCCTGCAGCCTTTATAGGGTAATCCCATACTTTGGCTTTCCTGAGGTGTGGAGGACACATGTTACTGAGAACTGCCCACTTGTGCGCTTTCTCTGCGGCACTGTGCCTGTACTGTGGGTGCACAGTGAGTGTCAACAGCCTCCGCTTCGCTGGATGACCCATTATCCAGAGCCATGACTGAGGTTCAGGTTCACGTTCACGTTCAGGCCCGGCTGCGGCATCGACTTCGACTCCTCACTCCCCCGGAGCAAAACAGGTGGCAGTAAAAACAAGTTTTCCATAAAGCGAAAAGCTTTTAGCGAAAATTTCTCAGACTAGCTCCCAGTTGAAAAGTGAAAGAGATACAGCAAGTACAGCAAATGCACACATGCAGATGCATAGATACAGATACATGGACACCGGCGCGCCGATGCACACCCATTTGTGGGCCCGTCTGCCGTCTGCTTATTTTCTGCGGCAAGTGAAATGTGTGTTAAAGCAAACACACTGCTCTGCCAGAGCAACTGCTGCCCCTTTGGGCCCCTTCTCCAATGTGTTGAAAGCTAAATGCCTGCCCCAACCACAGAGTCAGTCGCAGTCGCAGCCAGAGGGGCACAGACACTGAGCTGCATGCAGGCCATGTAGGAGTACGACTACGAGTACGAGCACGAGTAGTTGTAAGCATCGTTCATTGACATCGCCATCGCCATCGCCATCGAATGTGTCTGGCTCTCTTTCCACATAGAAGATCTTTCTCTCCCCCTGTATCTGTATCTGTAGCTCTCTCGCTGTCAGTGGTCTATTGTTGCATGTAAATTAGAGCATTCATTAGCACTATCACCAAATGATGCAAGTGGCACTCTAGACACGAGACTGGACTGGGAAAGTGAGAGTGGAGTGTGACTGCAACTGCGAGTGATAATGGTTTATAATAGTTTTCCCATTTGCTTCGCTTTTGCTTTCATTATCGCAGTACTGTGAGGGGTAGGGGTAGGGGCAGGGACAGTTGCAGCGGCGCGACGCATTATTAATTTAAATAATCATTTTGTTTACTTTCGTTTCGCATGGCATTGCAATGCATTTCTCTTGACGCCTGTCCGTCCGTCTGTCCACTTCAATTGCACTGGGCCTGGCCAAGAGCTGCACTTGGGAATGGAATGATTAAGCGCCTCGTTGGCAGCCAGCAATGCGCCTAATTACCCCAGTCACCCCAGCCTCTGGTTGCCAGCCCATAATCCAGTTTGTCTGTTGGCTGTTTACTTTGAACAGATGGCCCGCGGATTGGCTGGGCCTGGGTATTCATTGTGGCAGCTCCTTCACACACTCGTAAATATCCGTTGGCTGTGGGGGGGGAGACACTTCTCACAGAGCAATGTCCCAGTGCACAATGCTGATGATGGATATGTTTCGGTGATGATATCATTCTACCCAGCATTAGTGCTCCATCGAAATTGGATGTCATACGATCACACGACAAGTGATAAAATGAATACTCGTACGCCATGCAGTGTCACCCCCGGCCACAATTGAATTGAAACCATCAACTTTTGACTCCACTCCACTGTGTGCCTCCATTGGGGAGGGGGAATAGGAAACACTTCCCCAGCTGTCAAACAGAATTCATCAGGAAATTATACTCTCTCACTTATATAGCTCCCAATGGGAAAAAAATTTTACAAACTGTGGTCTCTTTTTAAGAAAAGGTGAGAAAACAAGTACAAATACAATCATCTCTCTCTCTTTCTCTAGAGTAGCCACAACACAGAGCTGTCTGCAGTCCGAGGGAGGAAAGACCACAAACAATCTGGGGTAGTTTCTAAAGGAAATGGGAAATTTACTTAGCAAATTAGATAATTGCAAACTTTCTTAAACTCAGTGCTGTGATTCCACTTGAGGGTCTGACTGGGCTGTTGTGCATCAATTAAACCGATTAGCTGCACATTCAACCCGCAATTAGTTCAACTAAATCTCAAGAGATTGAGAGAGTCAAGTAGAATTTCCATAATTTCAAGCCCAGCACAGAAACAGAACCATTTACATGTCTTTGGGGCTAGAAGAGCTCTGTGTTGGGCAACTCTCAATAGGGAACCAAATCTAATCATATACGATATATATAATGTAACCCCCCTCCACGAAAAGGAGCCCCAGCAACATGAAAACCATTGACAAACCCTTTATCGATGAGCTGAACAGAATGCTCTTCAATCGAACCCGTACTGGGAGGCTACCGAAGAATGAGTAACTGAATTAACATTGGAATTGAAAACTGACGAGTGCTTTATCATCAGATCTCTCGAATCTCTCCTTGCAGGCGCTATGAGGAGGATCCAGACAATGCCTGGAACTGCTGCTCCTGGTGCGAGTACTTGCTGATCGTGATTCTTTCCACCATTCTGTTGGTGGGAGTCCTGGTGTTGACCCTCTTCTGGGTGATGTTCTATCGCGATGGCTTCGCCTGGTCGGAGAGCCCCAAGCAGCAGTTCAATCTGCATCCCATCCTGATGATTGCCGGTTTCGTCACTCTCTCTGGATTTTGTAAGCTATCTGCCATTGTTTCCTCCAGCTGGTTCACGATCTCAGCTCATCTCGATTGCATCTACATACTCTCGTCTCCTCACAGCCATCTTGATCTATCGCCTGTGCCGGTGCGTGAAGCATATCTATGTGAAGCTGATCCACATGTTCTTTCACGCCATTGCCATTCCGTGCATCGCCCTGGGTTTCCTCTCCGTCTTCGACTCCCACGAGGCGTTGCAAAAGGTGAACTTCTACAGCTTGCACTCTTGGCTGGGTTTCGTGACTATGGGCATGTTTGTGCTGCAGTTTGTGATCGGATTCTTCAGGTAGGTGGTGTCGTACTCCCCAAATGTCCCAATCCAGCATACTAATCACCCCATACATTGGTGATGCTTGCATTAGCTTTCTGGTGATGCTCTGCTGTGAGAACAAGACCTACAGCTGCCGCTCCGCCATGGTGCCTATACACGCCAGTCTGGGTCTGGCCAACTTCTGGCTGGCCATTGCCACATCTGTGACGGGTCTCATTGAGAAGGAGCGCGAGACGGTGGCCGAGACGAACGTCAGGTGAGTGTCTGATTGATTGTTTGTCCTTTCACCTCGGAAAATACATACCCAATCACATCTTATCTTATCTTCTTGTAGCGCCGAAAACAAGCTCATTGAGCATTACATCACCAGTGCCATTGGCATCACTCTGATCTTCATCGGCATCATCGTCACCTTTGCGGTGCGACGGTCCAACGCTCCCGCCTCGGCCAAAGTCTACGTAACCGAACGCATTTAGGATGTCGGCTGCTCCCCAGCTGGCCCCGCCAACCACAGCCAGTGCAGGAAGAGCGTCTCAAATGGAAATTGTATCCAAGGATTATCTGTGGTTCCGTTGTGGATTCAGAGCTTTGAACCAATGTCGTCCTTTTGAAAGGCTTAGCACAAACAGATCACGCTTCTGCATACTCTTTCTAGACATACCTGTTATAACGTTTTATATGCCAAATTGAATTCCCTTCATATACATAGACTACTCTACTGCGTAAATCAAAAACTTTTCTCACCCATCCAATGGCAGTTTAAACTCCTAAGTAGATTTGTAGGTTTAGGAATCTCAAAGCAATCGCATTACCACTTGGTAGACAGTGAAAGTACCCGACCAGATCGAATCAGAACCGACCAAACGCAGGCAAAAAATAATCAAAATTTAAGTGTTCAGCTGAAGTTGATCGTACATTACAATACATACATGATTAGCCAGTTTTTTGGTACTATAGTAGAATTTTGATATAAGCCAATGTATGTATTCAGCAGATAATACAACTAATCTATGTACTATACCAGATAAAGAGTACACTTTACACATTTATTGTAGATTCATATTGTCGCATTTGATGTTTCTCAGTATAAGCTGTAAACCAATTTTACAAATAAATCATACTTTCCCCAGTCCGGGGGTCTTATAATATTTTTTTTTTGTGCTGAAAAATTGGCTGAGCTTAGAGAACTTCAATTTGAGTTCTATAAATGCATATTTAAAAGGTGCAGCCTCGCAGCTTCTGTTTGAATTCGATAACATTTTCATAGCAACCACCATTTTTAGTTTCATAGCAGCCAGCTCTAATAATCTCATACGTTTCGTCAGTACCGATTTTTGATTTAATCCATATAGTATATAGAAATCCAATAAAAGCAATTATTGAAATTAAGCCAATCAAGTAGAAAAAAGATTAATTAATCGGATAAAATTGTGTGGGCACGGCTAAATGTTCTATATAGCTGTTAATATTCGACGGAAAATCAAAAACGAGGAATATGTTAAATAGAACTTGAATTCGTCAGTATATTTACGGTATATTTTTCAATTTCGGACAATGCTCCTTAGCGATTTAATCAAATGTGGAGCAAGGTAAATCTTTATCTTGAACATTCGACATTAATGTCGATTCCCAGTCTTCTGAAAACAGCTCTATTATTTGAGCCCTGTTGTCCTTTGTTGCATGCGAAGATATCGATAGGCGAGACCCTAGAAGCGCTGAGAGGAAGGTATTTTTTTGAACAGAGTGGCAGGGCCAAAATTTAAGGGGAAAGGTTAGCGAAGAGTGGCCACCTGGTCCTGGAGAGTTAGAGTTCCGCGCGCTCTCCGGAGCCGTTGTGAGAGGATTTCCGATCTCAGCCCATAACGGAGTCCCGAAGCCAACTCACCCACACCCAAAAGAAAAGAGAGCCGCCAGCAGCCCGAATCAGGCCATGCCCTTGAACCTGGTTCAAGGGCGATAGAAGAGAGAGCCATGGGGATCGGCAGCCGGGAGCATTAAACAGAACATCCAAGAGGGGGTTCAGAAAGAAAAATTCCCGCAACGGAGGAGCATGCGCGCCGGGCACAGTGACTTAGCGATTTTTTTGTGTTCTGAAAGAAAAAGGGATCCAGATCAGGGAAAGACCAGGAACCAGGACCAGGAAGCATAAGAGGAATAGGTCACAGCTCCGCCACCCTGGCTTGTTTTTCCTGCTGGTCTCGAAGGATCAGACCTGGCCACGTAGTGCGGGACCCTCGCCCACTTAGGGAGAAGAAAAAAAGCACATCAACTTATTTACTCCCATTAATTATTTTTGTTAGACGTCTCTAGTTATAAGTATATGTAATTTAAGTCCGTCCATATTTATTATATATATGTAACCTATTTATTTATATTTATTATATTATTTATTCCTATTAATCTAATTATTTATTAACCGCCAGTAGTACTAAGATGAGGGGGGGATGAATAGGCAGGCCTAGTTTAGAAATGATATCGTGTGAAAATAGGAAATGAAGTGAAGATTATAACGAAGAAATGAATTGTTAAGCGTTTCGTATGGGGGGAAGAGGAGCCACAGCAACGAGAGGGTAAGGCTTTTGCCAATGGCAGGGAGATCCGGAACGTGTGATTCAGATCTCAGGTAGGGTGGGTGCGTCGGGGGTAAAACATCGACACCTCGACCTGGTCCAAGTCTGTGTTGAGGGAAGACTGTAATGTTGTTTGTCGAGTAGAGTCCGTTTTTTTCAGTTTTTTTTGTCGGTTATTTTTGTTATTTCATTTTGTTCGAGATGTCCAATCAGTTGGTTGTTGTGCGACCTGAGGGCTTGGGAAGTATCCAGCCCTGGGATGACTGGCTAGCCGGCCTTGCCCCAAAGAAAAACAAAGGTTCGTAACAATAATGGCGCCCAATCTGAGACAGGGAAGCGGACTCGCAGTCCTGGCTCGACCATCAAAGAGGGAGAGTACGGATGCGAATCATACGGAAGTCGAAGAAATTATAAATATCCAGCAGAGAAGATAGATCTCGAGTGGTATTCTGCAATCTGGGGTCCATCGGTGTTCCGGTGGCCTGTGAGGGACGCGACGAGTTGGCTCACAGAAGCACGGCGCTGAGGGACCTGAGGATGCAAGAAAAAAATCCACAAAGTAAATAGTTTTTTTTTGATGTTTGATGTTTCGGCACTTATCTGACAACGGGAAGCAGGCAATCTCAAGAGGGGATTTGGTTTGGCACTGGCAGAGGAGAATCCAAAAGCCAGTTAGCAACCGGCCCGGTGCCTGGTGTGCAAAAGGAGAACCTGAAGAAAAAGAAATACCCGAAGTTAGGAATGGTCAGAAAGATTTCTGTTTTTCGCTTCCCCTGCTTACCGCTGGATGGAGTCGGGAGAGTAGATTCTCAAGGAGATTTTTTGTTCTGAGTGGCCCGTGGGGACAGATGTCGGCCACGCGTTGCACTCGGAGCAGCTACAACATCCCGCAACGAACATTCAGTAGGGAAGTAGGCGGAAACAGCGACTGTAGGGAAGTGAGCGCCCTTGACTCTTAATCTTTCAAGGAAGATAAGATCAGTCAACAGCGCTCGCCAAATTCTAGACGTTGGACAGGAAAAGACGTAGAACACCATGTGCAGAGTTGGCCCCAGTAGTAGTTGTGGTTCCTTTCCCCCTTATTAGTGTTTTTGCCGTATTAAACGTTTTTGTGCTGAAGATCAGTGAGTTGGCGTTATAGGTAGTGTTTATGCGATTGTTCTGAAAGAAGAGTAGATAATTAATTGTATTGAATAAAAAGATAATTAGGATAGTTCGAGGTAGGGAAATACAGGGCTAGGTTGATGAGCGCGTACAACTTGCGGTCTAAGCAGAAAATGACTCGCAGGACTCCTCCACCAGGTAACCTCCAAGGACAGATGCAAGGCGGGGACACACAGGGCGCTGAGGGGCGTGAAGACGACAGCTGGAATTTGCCAGGCCAATCGAACGCACTGCCCTCCGAGATTCTCTCAGGAGTAAATGTCGCCATAGCGCAAGCACAGGAGACGTGGAGAGGCAGCATGGCAGATACCCTGAGTAGGACGTTGCAGGAGGAGATCCGTCGCGGCTTTATGGAGCTGATGGGGGCCATAACAGAGGTGATGGCGCCTCTGCGCCAGAACGTGGAATTGATCCAAGATCTGAGATTGGAAAGAGACCAGGGTGAAAACAACGATAATAATAATGGCGATCAGCAGCCTCTAGCTCACCTCAGGCAGAAGCCGATCACAGGGACCATGCCCAAAAGACCCAAGGACGATGACGCATGGAATTCACAGTCGCCTCCAAGGAAGCCGGCGAGGTTGAGCCAGAACTGGCGCCGAGGAATAGCCGATGCGGACCTGGATCCAGGTGCTGGAAGGCAGAGACGGGAGACATCAGGAGACGGCGGAGGTCCAACAGATCTGCCACCATATGAAAGGAGAGATGATTGGAGAGGAGCGAGAGGGGGGCGCGTCGACAAATGGGAAATCCACTTCGACGGAGATGGAGATCCAAATAAGATGACGGTGCAGGACTTCGTGTTCAGGGTCGAGTTCCTCCGTAGGCAGAACCGACGGTCGTGGGACGAGGTCCTTGACAACTTTCACCATCTCGTCAAAGGACAAGCGGCGGAGTGGTATTGGCAATTTGTCCGAGAACGGCCTCCGGAAGGATGGGAGGATTTGAAGGACGAGTTGGTGTCCCGGTTCCGAGCAGTGGGTGGCGAGTTCGAGCGGCTACGCACCTTGCATGAGCGAAGGCAACAATCTGGCGAATTTGTGGAAGAGTATTTTAGAGCGATGCGCAGACTGGCAGCTAGACTCACCACACCTTTGGTTGAGTCCGAAATGGTGCGAGTCTTGAAGAAGGGGCTCGATGATGAGATCGCCCGCTACGTTTACGCGATCCGAGTCCGGAACGTGGAGCAGCTGAGGGAAGAGTGCCTGGAAGTGGAGTACCACTTTCGCGGACGAGAGCAGAAGTCGACGTTCCGTCCTGTGCCGAAATTCCAATCAGCCGGGAAGCGAGTGGAGGAGCTAGAGCCGGAAAAGGAGTTTCTGGATGAAGACGAAGCAAGGATGGTGGAAGAAACTCACCTGGCAAACAAACCCAGGCTGTGTTGCTGGAATTGCGGCCAGTTCGACCACGGATTCCGAGACTGCGTGGCGAAGGAACGCAAAATATTCTGTTACCGCTGCGGGAAACCAGAAATGTTTACTCCAACGTGTCCCAATTGCTCGGGAAACGCACGAGCGGGCATGATGAAAGCGGGAGATCAGCGCTCGGGACAGAAGCCCGCGAAGAAATGAACGATGGTCCACTAATTAATATAGAATTTAAGAATAATAGCCCGAATAAATTAAATAAAAATAGTTTGAAGTTTATACCGGCCGAAGAGAGGATGAGGAGATACATACAAATTCGAAACCAGATCTTTGATGACAGGCAGCTGGAGGGGATGCGCGGTGTCAGTCGTAGACTCCAAAAGGCCCGTTCCAGATTTAAGGAAAGGCGACAGACTCGCAAAGAGGTGGCCGAGGCAGTCAGACGAGGAGCAGGACGCGATCCCAGAGTGTTTGCCGAAGTGCAGATAAGAGGACATCGGATTGCTGGACTCCTAGATACTGGGGCATCCGTTAGTGTCTTAGGAAAGGGCAGCCGTGAACTCCTTGCCGACCTTGAGGTGGAAATGGACAATTATGTCTCGATCATCA